ATGCACTGAGTGCATTTAGATTAATTAAATGATTTAGTAGTGGTGATAATGAAATTTTTATTAACCAATATAATACTCACACATCATTGATTCATACTTCAGTTTTATTATATAAATAATAATTTTTTTTAATTGCAATATTGGTTTAATATGAAAGATTACAAAACTTATGAATTTTGATACATTTCTTATAAAATTTGGAGTACAAAAAAAGAAGAAGAAATCTCCTCTCCTTTCTCTAAATAAGTTGACGTTATTAAAGTGAATCAATGATGCACCGAGTAAATAGCAACGAAGCATCAAGTGAACTTGAATTAATTAAATGTTACAGTAGTAGTGATAACAAAATTCATTAACTAATAAGGAACACACACATTACTGATTTATAACTACATTTTATTCTACAAAATAATATTATTTTATTTATATATATGCAATATTGATGGCATATGAAAGATCAATGCATTTTTATATTTTCTCTTCACTTTCTCCAAATGAGTTGGCGTGATTAATATGAATAACACTAATGCACCAAGTGAATAGCAGAGATGCACCGAGTGATATTGGATTAATTAAATGTTTTAATAGTAATTATTATAAATCTTTTATTAACCAATAAGAGATTAACACCTCATTGATTTTTAACCCAGATGTAATGTATAAAAAAATGTTTTTATTTTTATATATGCAATATTGGTGTCATGTGAAAGATAATAGAATGTTATAAATTTTGATGTATTTTCTGTAAAATTGCAGTGCAAATAAATAAGTTTTAGTACATTTTAAAAAAAATTCTCCTTGATTTACTCCTAATGAGCAGTGATAATAGAATTTTTAACTCGGATTTGGTATATAAAATACTACATTCATCCCATTCAAAAGATCTCGTCCACTATTATCCGGTCAACATAAAGTTTTCTTAATCTATTACTTTATATATCCATTTTTTATCAAATTTGAGTTTTCTTTTGCGACTTTATAAAACTTTTGATGTAGTCTCTGGATATGTAAATTTTATTTACTATAAAGAAACTAATTATGGATAGGATCAATTAATTTTATGATCAGTTAAATATCGTAAACCGTGTGAAATCTTTTTACGGGACGTAGAGAGATATACTTTTATTTTTATATATATGATATTGGTGTCATATGAAATATAATAAAAAGTTATGAATTTTGATATAGTTTTTGTAAAAATTGGATTATAAATATAAAAGTTATATCACTTTAAAAAGAGAGATTAGTTCTCATTTTTTTGCTCCAAATCGGTTGTGATGTAGGGATTTTTTTTAAATAGCCGTGTGGTGTTGGGAGTTAATTAAGTGTTTTAATTGTTGTGATAATAGAATTTGCTTTATCGAATAGAAAGCTGACACATCATTAGTTTTTAACTCAACTTTACTATGTAAAACTATAGATAATTTAACGACTCATTTCCTTTCAATTTTTATTTATGAAGCTTTTATCTTCTTCTCTCAAGTTCCTTAGTTCTACGTCCAAGGTTGAATCCCCAACCCCAAGGGCCCCCTCACCCTGACCCGACAGGATGGTGGGGGAGTAAATCACGGTGACTCAGTCGGCAAAGCGGCAGTAGACCTTTACCCGTGCACACCAGAGGGACAGCCTTATTTCAGGTTCTGAAAACCCCCTTTTGGCCGCTGCGGGATTCGAACTTTGGTCTACGTCCAATTTTTCTCACCGCTCGACCAACTGAGCTACCCGTGCGGGTAAGTTCCTTAGTTCTACAATTCATTATTGTGTTCTTATTCTACCACTGATAATTAAAATCAATATGGTATCAAATTACGATTAATCGATCCTTTCTTCTTAGTTTTTTTCCTTTTTCAATGATAAAATAATTTGTAAATTGCTGAAGAGGTTATATGGTTTAAAGCAGGCATCTAGACAATGATATTGTAAGCTTTCTTATTCCCTTAAAATGTTTGGTTATACTCCCTCCGTTTCCATTTGTTTGACACAGTTTGACTTGTCAAGAATTAAAGAAAAAATGTTACTGGGGGGGTAAATTTTACCGTAAAGTACACTGTTTGGCACCGTTTGAACATTGTTTTGCACTTTTTGAACACTATTTGACACTGTTTGAGCACTGATTGGCATTGTTTCAGTAAAGATTTGTTTACCAAATAAGAAAATAAGGAAGTGTGGCATTCATTTTGAAACATCCAAAAAGGGAAAGTGTGTCAAACAAATGGAAACAAAGGGAGTACTCAATATAAAGCTGATTTTTCTTTAATTACTAAACCTGGAACTTCTTTCACAACTTTATTATTGTATGCTGATGATATTATTCTAGCCGACAACATACAGAAGAAATTGAATTTGTTAAATCACACCTAAACAATCCACTATTAAAGACCTAGGTGAGTTAAAATATATTTTAAGAATATAAGTTGCTAGATCTGCAAAAGGAATTTGTTTTTCTCAAAGGACATACACACTAGATATACTTTCTTAAAATGGATATTTCTCATCAAAACCATATAACTCCTATGGATATTTGTCCATATGGCTATTTTTTTAGTAAAATTTATGACATAACCTCTAAATGATTTACACCATGTATACATACAATATAATTAAAGTAATTAAGTGCTGAAAAAGTAATCTATAACATTAAACAACTGTGTGTCAGTGTGTGTATAGATTGATTTGAACACACAGTCACACACACATATATATGCAAAGAGGTACTACCTCCGTTCCTAAATAAACTTCCAACTTTCATTTTTAGTCCGTTCCAATTAAAACCTCCACTTTCCCCTTTTGGTAAAAAATTTGTGATTCACAACATCTCTTACTCATTTCTCTCTTCTCTGCACAACTCTACACCACACAATGTCCACTATCTTAAACTGTGTGCCCAACCCATTTGGAAGTTTTAATAGGAACGGAGGGAGTATGTTTTTAGACAACAAAGATTTAAAAAATAATTTCAAAACAAATTCATTCTCATATATCCCATAGGCAACACGCTTGATATATGGTCTTAAACAAAGTTACCGAAAGAGAAGTAACAATACTAAGCATTAACATGACAGTATATATAGTTATTAAAGACAATGTTTTTCAATCATGGTGATAGTAACAACTTCTATTTCGTCAAGAAAAACACAACGGTCCTGTTTTTAGAAAAAGATATGTTAGAAAAAGTAGATTTTTCAATTTTTGTATACAACAATATTGATAACATTAAAAAGATCACAAAGTTTATTGGTAATAAGATCACAAAGTTATTAAATATGATATATATTTGATAAAAATTGAAGTAAAAATAAAAAAGTATGATGGTATAACAATTTAAGAGAAACAGATGAAATGAGAGGAGGTGAAGAAACTCGGACTCACACGTGTACATAATAGTTCATATGTGAGTAGTTTATAGGGTTGGGTCCGAAAAATCGAAAACCGAAAACCGAATCAAATCATACCGAACCATAGCCAAATAAAACCGAACCACTAACAAACCGAAACCGAATGTAAAAAACCGAACCGAACCGTAGTTGTTTGGTTCGGTTTTGGTTTTTACCCTTCAAAACCGAACCGAACCGAACAAATCGAACTAATTAAAATATACGGAGTAAAATTTATTTGTCCATTGTTAAGCATTAATCCTAACTAATCCTAATATCATTAATAGGTTTTGGTTTTCTTGTGCTAGAGAAATAATGTTTGTTATGTTTAGTTAGTTTGTGAATTCATCTACACATTCATTGCACGTAATAATGTAGCTATATTGATAATATGTTTTTACTTGTTATTAGTATTAATTAACTTTTATTTTTATTTAACTTAAAGAATTCGTATTGATGAAACAATAAATATTTATCTCAACTATATCACATATAACGTATATACTCATGAACTTTTTTTGAACTAGTCACAAACAATGTAAATTAATAATATATACTTTTATCTCTCTCGCATACTCATATAATTCATGACATATTTATTTTCATTTTTATTTTATTTGTTGTAGTGTGTTTGAATTCTTTATGTAATATATGTTTGATCCCTCAAAGTATTATATCAATTTTAAATCAAATGATAATTTTTTGGTAAAAAACCGAAAAAACCGAAACTGAATCGAAACAAACCAAACCAATTAAACCGTGGTTCCAAGTTTTGGAGTGTGGAACCGAACCGAAACCGAACCGAACTTTTTACTTTGATTCTATATTTGGTTTTAGGTCAAAACCGAACCGCAAGAACCGAACCCACCCCTAGTAGTTTATGTTGTATTAAAATGTGTACATTTTAGTAATTGTTAATTTTTAGTGATTGAAAAGATTTTAAAAGAAAAAAGTAGTACTTGTGTGACGAAAAGCTGATTGTTTGATTTTGTTCTGTTTGATATAGAAACTGTTCTAACTTATTAATACTGAAAGTTACTCCCTCCATCCCAAAAAGTTCTTCCCACTTTGGGCTTGTTTGTTTTTTGGCGGATTTGGATCTAACTGGCGCAAAATGCACCATTTTCACTTTGGGGAAATAGCGGATTGAAGGGAACCAGCCATTATCCAAACGCAGCCTTTGACTTGACATGGAGATTAAGAAAGTGAAATAAAGTGGAAATGTGTGGTTGTAGTTGCGTAGAAAAAATGTGAAATGAATGTGAACCACACAAATTGTCCAAAAATGGTAAGTGAGAACTTTTTTTTGAATGAATAAAAAAGAAAAGTGAGAAGAATTTTATGGGACGGATGAAGTATAAACTTTTCTCAAATACTTGTATTATTCAATACCAATTCACTAAACATACCATTTATTTAAGACTTGAATTTATGTCTACCAGGTCACGGTCTTTTTTTTCATGGTAGATTCTATGGTACCCACAAGGTACCATATCTTTGTCCACATGGACTAATGAGAATGTAACAGTTGAATTATTTAAATCTAAATTAAAAATGATAAAGTGACGTGGTCCGATAAAGATACCATTTTTTAGAAAGTACCCCAGTTGTGACCTTTGTACGGAATACATACTCCAGCTTTCGATTGTTTTCAAAAATAGAGACTAGGCAGTCGAATTCTGCAATTGTTCCTTGTGAGCAAATTGTTCAAGCAATGGAAATGGAGGAGACTAGGCAGACGAATTCTGCAGATGGCTCCATACCCGTTCTTTATTAGTTACAGGGAACTGACGGGAAACTACTCTGGTATGAAGGGCTACGGAATTTATTGAAATTTGACGGTAAACTGGACTGAAAAGATTTTCTAACACCTTAACTTTGGCTCTTTATAAATATCAGGAGATGTATGGAATTCTATTGTACGGAGTATTTGGTTATCTCAAGGAGTGACGTTACCTCACTCTAACGAGGAGGAGAAGGAACATGAGAAGCTCCATAGTCCATAGCCATGGGACCTTGGCCGCCAAAAGAGTACTCCTTTCCTCCCCACAAAGTTCAAGAATTGAAGCTTTTTCAGTAGAGGGGTTTTTCAAGGCCCCAAAGACTCTCACCAAAACTAATACTATGATGTCATCAATAAAAAACCAAGCAGCTAGTACGTACATTCTCTCTATATATATGTCTGTTCTTTATCATAAATTCGCAATGTTTCTCATTCTTTCTATTCTAGTAGTAGGTGAACAGAGATATGCATATGTGTACATGAGCTAATAAGGATTGGTTCTTTGCCAAAGCAGACGAAGGAATTGACAAGAGTATATATGCAATCCTGACTGTCGACCGCTGGGAATCATTAAACAAGATGCGTTATAAGATGGCTTCACTAAGGCCAGTTCACGGGAGGCTAACTTTGAAATTCTTGAAATGGTTTATAAAACAACCAGGTTTAGAGATTGACCACATTATTCACATGCACTGTATCACTTCCCACATACTTATAAGAGCACGGATGTATGATTCTGCTAAGTCAATTTTTAGGAATTTATCAGAAATGGGTATTGGGGCAAAATCTGTTCTTGTTGCCCTTATGGATACTTATTGCCTCTGCAATTCAAACGTTGCCGTTTATGATGTTTTAATAAGGGTTTATTTGAGAGAAGGAATGGTTAAGGACGCTTTGGAGGTATTCTATTGGATTGGTTCTCATGGAATAACTCCGTCGGTTCACACTTGTAACAGGATTCTTGAAGCAATTGCCAAGTTTCAAGATACTACCGAGTCCGTTTGGTCATTCTTCAAGGAAATGCTAGCAAAATGTATATGCCCTAATCTGAAGACATTTAACATACTCTTGCATGTCCTCTGCTCAACTGGAAAGCTTAAGAGAGCAAATCAATTTCTTAATATGATGGAGGAGAGTGGATACATTCCTGATGTAGTTACTTACAATACTTTGCTAAATAGCTTTTGCAAGAAGGGAAGATATAAATCAGCATATGAGCTGATTGATCATATGGCTTGTAAAGGTCTCAAAGCTGATATTTGTACATATAACATGCTTATAGACGATTTATGTAAGAACGATAGGAGTGCAAAAGGGTATTTGCTTTTGAAAAATGTGAGGAAGAGATTGGTAATTCCAAATGAAATCACTTATAACACCCTAATCAATGGATTCATGAAAGAGGGAAAGATTGGAGTCGCAATGAAGGTTTTTCATGAGATGAAGAGTCTGAATCTGTCGCCAAACCTTGTCACTTTCAATGCTTTGATTGATGGGCACTGCCGGGTGGGCATGTTTGAAGAAGCTTCTGGACTTCTGGAGGAAATTGAAGCATTAGGATTACGTCCCAATGAATTTAGCTACGGGTCTATCTTGAATGGGTTTTGCAGATGTGGAAAGATTGATTCTGCAAGATATATATTTAAGAGGATGAAGAAGGATAACATAGCTCTCAATCACGTATCTTACACAATGCTAATTCAAGGGCTATGCAAAAGGGGGATGATTGAAGAAAGCCTAAAACTTTTCAATGAAATGGTTGGGAGTGACATATTTCCCGATGTTATTGCATGCTCAGTTCTTGTAAATGGGCTTCTCAGAGCTAGAAGGATAAAGCAGGCAAAAGAGATAATGTGTAAAATGTACAAACTTGGAGCTTTTCCGTATGACCACATGCACCGTAACTTACTGTACAACTTCTGCAAGCAGAACAGTATCTTCCAAGCTCTGAAACTCTTCCAAGTGATGCTGGAAAATGGCCATGATGCTGACCTGTCTTTATACAATACACTCATTTCTTGTCTTTGCAGATGCGGAAAGCTAAATGATGCAGAGGATGTCATGCGTCACATGTTAAGAATTGATCTTGTTCCTGGTTCTGCTTGCTTTGATCCTCTTATCTCCGGCTATGCAAGTACAGGGGATAACTTCAAAGTTTTATCATTGATTGATGAAATGGCCAATTTGGGAAACCAGCCTACCCTATACACATATAAAGGGGTATTAAAGGGACTATGCAAAGGAGGAAACTTTACCGCGGCAATCAAGTTGTTTGATGGACTATGTCATTCTTCTCATTTTGTTCTTGATGTAGGTATATACAATACATTGTTAGCTGAGGCATGTAAAATAGGATATCTCCGTACGGCATTGGTAATTTTTGATGATATGGTGCATAATCATGTGATACCTGATGGCTATACATATGCTAATATCATAGCCGGATTGTGTAGAAATGGTAAAATAACTTCTGCAATTCTTTTATTGCCGAGAGCATTGGAAAGAGGAACCTTGCTTTCTAACCGGTTGATGTATACAAGTGTAATAGATGGGCTTTTCAAGAATGGTTTACCAAAGGTTGCCTCTTGTTTCTTTGATGAGATGATTAAGCAAGGGCTGAGACCAGATGCTATGGCGCTAAACACAATGATAGATGGTTACTCAATGATTGGTCAAATGGATCAAGCAAATAGATTTTTCTCAATCATGAAGGTCAAATTTTTGTCTCCTAATATTGATACATATAACAGCTTATTACACGGTTATGCAAAATTGCAAAATATATCAGAGTGCTTTGGATTATACTGTTCAATTTCAAGAAACGGCCTCACTCCAGATATGTCAACCAGAAAAGCTTTGATCTTTGCACTCTGTGAGTCACATATGTTGGATGTTGGGGTTAAATTTGTAAAAAAAATGATAATGGAAGGAGCGGTGATAGATAAAGCTTCATTCAACATGATAATTGCGAAATATAGTGAGAGGGGGGAGATGCAGAAAGCATTTGATGTGGTGACTATTATGAACTTAGCAGGCGGTTTTCAACCAGATGGTGATACTTATGAATCAATACTTAAAGGATTAAGAAGAATCTCTGATTTCCAAACATCTCGTGCTGTCTTTCATGAAATGCTGAAAAATGGTTTCATGCCGACTGATAGACAGTATGTCAGTGTGGTTAGTGGCATGTGTAGGGTGGGAGATGTACAACGAGCATTCCAGTTTAAGGATGAAATGGAATCTCTTGGCATCAGGTCCCGTGATATTGCTGACAGTGCTATTGTTAGAGGTCTTGTGCGCCGTGGAAAGACGGAAGAAGCAATGCTTGTTCTTGATTGTATGCTAAGAGGTCAACTTGTTCCAACCATTGCAACGTTTACAACTCTAATCCATGGGTTTTGCAAAGAATCTAAAGTATCTGAGGCTTTGAGTTTGAAAAATGCAATGGAAGTTCAAGGGATGCGGCCTGATGTTGTTGTTTATAATGTACTAATCACGGGCCTTTGTGTTAATTGCGGATTAGATTGCGCATTTGATTTGTACAAGGAGATGAAGCAAAGAGGTGTTTGGCCTAACATTACCACATATGCTGTTCTTGTTAATGCGGTTCATTCGGATGATGATCAGGGGAAGGGTGAACAGCTTATAATGGATCTTCAGGAAAGAGGATTGATAAGGCACGAGCTAAGTTCAGAAGCTCCTATACATCAAAGATTGACAGTTGTGATGCAGAGGCTTAACTTAATGAGGAAGAAAAGGACATACAGTAGTAGCAGAGAGAGAGGGTGGCAGGCTGTTATATAATTAATTGATGCAGAGAAGAACCATACACACTTTTACAACTTTTGCTTCAAATGTGCTTCAGGATTAACCTGGTATTATGGCTAATATTTAGGTCAATTTCACAATCATTTTTTTAAATTGAGAGGTTGTTTGGCAAAAACAATTATAATTTCAAGAACCAGACGTTGTGTTTTGTGAAGAAGTAATTAAAATTAGTGAATCCACATGAATGAGTATCTCCTTTACACACGAGCAGGGGGCATAGGCAGGAGCAAAAGCTGGGGTGGGCCGTTTCAAAGAATTTTTACGGACAAATTTTTACACATAAATTTTACACAATGTATACAAGCATTTTCATATTTGGGGTGGGCCGCTCCATCAAGTCCCCTACCTCCGCCCCTGCATATGAGGGCATGATTTAAAGATCTTATGCCCTTATCAGTTTATCTGTTCCACACAAATATATACTAAACTGCATACCTTCATGTCACAACCCATATGTCACCTTGGCCCTTCGTCTACTAACAACTTCTTCCACTATAGCTGTAATATTAGAATCTCAGTCTCTTGGCATTCCCAATCTAAAATAATTATTTTTTACAAATGTTTCCTTCTCTAATCATACCACTTATTCTTTTAAATTTATCCTTATGTTGATTTTCCTTTATTAACGTCCTAAACGCAGAACATATGTTGCTTTTCTTTTAACATACAATATATTTATGCTGAATAACTTCCTAAACACAGAACATATGTTGCTTTTCTCACACCCTTGCATGTTAGGCTTGTATCCAACCAACTTCAATACAAAACTCAAAGTATGCTTCCAAACTGCTTATAAATGAAGATGTATCAGAGATCCAACATTTCAAGGAAGGTTTGTGTCTATCACAAAGCAGTACAAAAGTAAGATTATTTGTAATTATCATTTATTGTAGTGAATATATATTACGGCTGCTTCGGCATGGGTGACTGATGAACTTCATAGTCAGACTCAGATACAGCAGACCATATATCTCAATTTTATGAGGAAGATATTTACTTATAAAGTTATAAAGCACGTTGAGTTAGTATTCCGGACACAGGTAATTTCTTTCAATATCATTCACACCACACAGAAGACATATAACAACAACATTTTTTGTATCCTTATCCTATAATCTCACCATTGTACCTAGGAAACCATGTTGTGACTGTTGGTACAATTGGCAACTTTGCTGTCAATAAAACTGGACAGAGCTACTCATGTTGCTCTAAATTGCAACAGGAAGTCTGCTGTTGAAAATGCACCATTCACGTGCTCATGTGAGACTTATTACGAAAAGTCTGTTCTAAGGTCACAAGAAATTTAGACTATCACACATAGACACAATTTATTTCTATAGGCAGATTGATGAGCACATACTGCTTTAATAGATACAGGTTTAAGGTCATTGTGTATCAAGAAAAAGACTGATTTTTTTTGTGGGATCGTCAATGCATTGAACTCCTCAGGAAAGCTGCAATTGGTCTTGAGAATCAACTGATAGAGGTATGTCCCCAAATAAATATCCTCACAAAGTAACCATCTTACCTTATTTTATCTTTGATGTATGCCGAACATGTAAGCAAAAGATGAAATTTACATCATAAGGAGGTTGAAGACAATCCACTGGCTTGTCCTGAGCTATTAGATGGAATTCTGGGAAGGACTTTAGCATTTCGAACTAAGAAGCAACCGCCTTATAATGCATCATCTGTGCTTAAAATATCAGAAGACCCAATATTTGTTCAAACAAGTCAAACCCAATATTGCTTTCCATCCATCTTACCTTAAAATTTGTGAAATACTCTTAACTAATTCATCATTTCTGAATCACTCATCCTCCTACAAGGTTTTAAATTATCCATCTAAGTTTAGCATAATTCGTTACTGTTTTCTCTATTTAGTTAAGATTTTATTTCTATAGGCCTCATCCACAGTTGAAACAGCTAAAAGGACACATTCAAAGTGGCAGTTAATTATTAAATTAAACTACTTCTGAATTTTGCATTCATATTTTGCATTGATAAATGATAACATACTGATGATCTGTGATGTTTGTTTGTTTTTTAAATATACAGCAACATTTATCACACCTATTACATCATCCAAAAACTCACCAAGCGCGATGCCTTGTAAGGGATCCCCCTATCTGATAATGGATCACCAAGCAGCTATTATCCACAAAAAATAAAAGTTGTAAAAAAGGAACAAAGCAATAACTGACTCTCTTTGTGATTCGCTTAATTCTAATTGTTCAATTACATTATGAATTTTGTATAGCGGATTCTATACTTGCTGTTCTTATTGTCATCCTTAGAGGTTGTTTGGATCTACTGCTTGAAAATGCTTCTGCTTCTTTAAGGAGTAGAAACATATAATGAAGTGTTTGGATAAAATTGCTGGTGCTCCAAATTGCTCTTAGAAGAAGTTTTTTAGAAGTTAGGGGAGACTAACTTCTTAAAAATTAATTCTGATTCTGTTTCGCTTTAAGAAATGAAGTAGAAGCAGAATCAATCCCAAACACCCCTTAATTACTAATGTTAGATGCATTATACTCTTCCACATACAAAAGATAGTATATTCTATTGAGATTGCGTTATATATTTCATAACAAGAGAGCTCCTATATATTCCCAGTTTAACACTTATGGGGGTGAAACGATACTACTGGATTGTTAATGTAGCCATCTGTTATTACGTCTCTATGGAAACTTATGTTTTTCTGTCAATTTAAAATGATTTAGTCATTTACTTTTTACATTTGAAATATCCTACTATAGCCAAATTTACAAGCCTTAAAACATTCACTCAACCAATTGACTTTTACATCTCATTATTAAAACCTTTCAACATTTTCACCATCACACTTTTGAAATACTCAACTACAGATTCAACTAATGTATTAACTTATCATAAACTTTTATTACATCATTTGCAATGGAGCCAAAAAATCACTATTTTTTGGCCCGGGAATATGATGGAATAAAGCAAATGGGTTCACTAAACTGTCTGCGCTTCTTTGTTATGAAACAACAGTCAATTCATGCAATTTTTGACGCAATTTTCACTATGAGTCATCCGGAAACAGTCTATGTGCTTTAGTGCAGGGGTAAGACTGCGTACATCCGACCCCCCTTACCCCATTGTAGGTGGGAGCCTTTGCGGCACTGGGGTAATGATCCGTTCTTCCAGTTTTATATCTGCATTTGTATTTTGTGGTGTATTGAATATTTGATTACATCAAAACACAATTCTAAATGACTCTACAAGCACATTTACCAACAAACTCTATTTAATAACAATACACCCCATCCTGCTTCATATCGTTGTGCGAGGCAACCGATGTTCTTTAACAAATTCCTTCTACATAGTTCCTTTGTTATCAACTTATCATTACATAGCTACATGCCTACATGTTTTTATGCATACAAGTTCAATGATTTTCCTAAATGATCACTTTTTGTGATATTCGGCCTCAAGAGAGAGTCCTTAATATTCAACAAGCCTAGTTATGCTGGAGAATCCTTATTATTCAACCAAATGGGTCGGGAGATGATGATCTTAACATCATGCCAACAGTAATATTACTTACTGATCGAGAGCTGTTATATCGCCTTCTTGAGCCAGATATTCCTTTCACTGGATTTCAGATATTTCCCAGGAGGAGTGCCCGCATCAAGGAAAAAATGGGTCAACAATAATTTTTTGTTCGATCAGCAATGTACTTTAACGGGGACTTCGCGAAACAGACTTGATCTCGGGGGCCTTCATCAAAACAGGAAATGATGGATACTCTATTGGATTATGACCGATTGGAGATTTGGAGCAAGCGGGTTTCTTATCGATTTTCTTTCTTTAATGTTCTTTTCTCTATTCACTAGCTTTTCGTTTCTCTAATTTTTCTTCCTTCATTAGCGTTTGTACTTGTTTTTATAATTTTAATAATACTCCTATTTTGATTATAAAAAACGTATACTCTTACAAAAAGTCTTACAAAAAAGTTATGCGGCAGCATCATATTGTTTAGCATATCACATTACTTTTACATCAAAGGTAATTATAAAAATCACATCACTTGTTTGTAATTTTTTTGTAAGTTTATTTGTACTTGTAAAATTTCCTAACAAGTATTATCAAATGAATAAAGACGCATCATGCCTTTCATAACCAAACGAAACGCAAAATATTCAATTAAGTAATACTGTATGGTAATTCGAAGACAATTAATAGAGAAAAACTGTACAGACAAATGCTCAGACAAAAAAGTCTTCAACTCAGAAATATTCAAAATATTCGAACAACTACTGAAATGTAATACTAGTATGCTATTACATAGAATATGATCATATTCCACTTGAAAGATCGATCACATATTTGCATTAAAACAAATATATTTATAATTCCTCTTTTCTTTGACCCAGTGTAATTCTTTCCAAAGAAAACTACTCAAAATTTAAACTATCTGTGTTTTGTAAATTTTACAACTAAACACAACATAAAAAACATGCTTTTATAATAAGAGTTACATCCGTATTTTCAGATATGTCATTGAATCATCTGTTATGCATGTGTTTAGCAGCTTAGTAAATTAGTATGATAGATTTGTTTTACATCGCTATCTTTATTGGAATTTCAGAAGTTATCTTGAATAAATTCTCCTCCAAAGATGGATAACCTGAGCATGTGATTTTTTATTTCTTTCCAAACAAGTTTTTATTCAAGTTTTCTTTCCAAACTTGCCTCACAGTTTGCAAAAAAAAAACAAATACTTGCCTCACAAAACATAATATCCCTTTGCCATTTTTGCACTTCACTTTGCTCAAATGAATTTTCATTTTCCAGTTTAGTTAAACAATTTCTGTTGTCTAATTTGTTTGTCATACCCCCCACCCTGCCTTTCACAAAACCGAGTATTTCAACTGTGCACGGTCATGCTAATTTTTACTCTATTACTAACTTTTGTAAATGCTTGTATCAAAACCTGTAAACGCAAACCGGACTAACTAAGATATGTTCAACATTGGGTGTACATAAACTACTCCCATTTTAGGAATAAAGAGATTATAGTCCAATTTTAGTATTGTTACATTTTGGAGTAATCTCACTCCTATGTAGAGCTAATACGGTTTTAAAACCCAGAACAGATCTGGTCCATGTCTACTATTATGTTCAGTTTGAAAATGTCTAGATGTTAACTTCAATTTCAAAGTTACAGATATGAAATGCAATCATCCATGATCAGATAATGTTTATGATATACGGCAGTTCCTATACACTTACTACATCACCCCAAAAATGAGGATATTATAAATATGTAACTACATCTGAAATTGTCACTCTCCATGTATAAGAGGAAAACCGTGACTAAAATCAAGGCGAGTTAAGAAACTTTCGGGCAGCATCCAAACTCAGTTCTTCAAACACCTGAAAGTAAAAGAGAAATGTTCTGTGGTTGAGAAGATACCAGGAATGTACAATGATTTGGAAGAAAATACAACCTGAGGGGTTCCATCAATAAAGTGATCCTGTCTTACTTAACTAATTAAGGACATGAAGTGACTATGGCACACTTATTTTTCTAGATTTACTTACAAGTTTCTTGTAGACTTCTTGAAATGACTTGCAGAACTTTTCTGCTTCTTCTGCTCCAAGCTGTAAAACAAATTCAATTAAGAAGATAAGGCAGACCTCATTACAAGTTTACAGCTATGATCTATCATATTCAACTAGTTTGAACGAAGCTTGATTCCCTTTGACACATTTAACTTTTGATCCCCAAGAAAAAGAGAAATTTACAAGCGAGTTCGGTATATCAAAGTTAATTAACCCAAAAGAACTATTTGCAGAAGTTTAAGATTTGTGTGTGAGTTGTACCTTGCCAAAATTAAAAAGTTTTACCTTAACCAAACATAACTCTTTATTAGGGACAGAGGGATTATTATGTACATACAGCAACACATAAGCTTCTCGAGCAAAAAAATCATCATAGTTCAAGTTGACTTTATGATAAAAGAGAAGGAACAAAAATGGCCTCGCTATCACCATCATGTACTGCAGCTTCTTTACTTATTTAGATATGTACATGTTTACAAGCGACCACTTCAAATTTGATAATATCGCATACCGTATTTTGATAATTTGATATCAATTTGTACCCCAGTCCTTATCCTTAGGCAGCATAATACTGTATGTAGTTTCTCTCTTCCTAAAAGTGTCCTGCATCCCTCCCCTTGAATAAGGTCTATTTTTTGTTGGACAAAATATATGTAGTAAGGAGGGCTAGGAAATGGTTCATGAAATGGTAAAATTATCTCGAATTTAGTCCTACATGTAAGTGATGAGATAATTTTAATGTGTAAATTTACTAAATTAGAGATAATTTAGCCATCTCTGAACACTTCTCTAACTCCCTCCCTACCTGTATCACTGTCCTTTTTGTTTCCACAAAAAACTGACATGAACTCCATTAATCAGATGGGTTAAAATCATTTTTTACTTCATTTAGCTATTCTAGAATTTAAATTCATACTACACTTCGCTGTAAATTATTTCTTCCGAACTAGCAAACATTCTAATTCTAATCCTTTTGTATGGAGGCCTCGTCTTCATCCCGCTGCAAAAGTATTTAAACATCTAGCTTTATTTCAAAACAAACACAAATTTCCATATCAGTAGAGATTACTAAGAAGTGAAAATTGTATGGTGTGTGAATATTCAAAGGCAAAAGACAACGAACGAAGTAAGATTTATTAAACATATGATTTGGTTTGAAGTACACTGTACACATAATCTTGCTTCTACCAAATTAACTATGGCTGCGCAGGCATCTATCAATGGAGGAATATAGGGAGAGAACTATGTGATTATATTCATACTTGTACTTGTAATAATTGGCAAGATAATAATGCATTTAGAGATTTTCATACAAGGGATAATACATGGGCTGTCAAACTCGTCTAATTAACTACTAAAGTTTGTCTATCCTAATGGACAATGAGGCATAGCACATTAGGCAGGAGGATATACCCCGGCCTCTATGTCACTAAATGCCTATCTTAATAGACAAGAAGGCATAGCATATTGGTTTTGCCTTCATAATGTAGTTTTGGTATCGAGTCATGTTGATCGTTGACGTAGAGGTATGACTGTTATGGGTAGTATTGATACTGCTCATTAGTTGTATAACTGTATTCACTATTCGGCCATAAACATAGAGTTCATATAGAGGGGCTGTAATTGTAGCATTCCATTTATTTTATCCAAAAAGAAAAACATTCAAACTCTCTATGTAATTTCTTTTGAGCAAAATAATGTCACCACTCATTGAATATCTATCTACATTATTCACTGCCAAATTTTAGACATATCCATCCTTATAGAGGTTCTTTAAGGCTATGTTTCAATTCCAAAAGATGCTAGGAAAAGGGAAAGAAAATTATGACGGAAGTTATATTCTTATGTTTGATTTGACCTAGAAATGCAAAGAAAATGAAATATATAAATGTTTCTAACTTTTTGTCAAATGTTTAGAGTTTAGACATCTTAGTATTCGTATACGTTGTATAATAGATAATAGAACTAAAGTAAATAAATGAACAAATAACAAACATCAATTGTTTGAGTTTGAAGCAGTAATTCATTTTCTTCCTTTCTTCTATAATTTCCTCCCAACTTTCCCTAGCATTTTTTCGAGCTTCAAATGACCGTACAGGTCTCATGATTTATTGAGCTCTAGAATTTCTTGGTATCCATCATAATAAGACCACTTTAGAAATTAGCTTCTTTAGAATACAAATATGGAGTGATATTCTTATGATGAACATTTTTACAAATTGCAATATTATAAACTATTTCCGCACATGAAAGTGTCCACTGAAATGTGGAAATTTAACTTGATGATTTTATCCAGAGTTGAAAAGAAATAAGTTGAAAGGAGGGAATGAATGAAATGAGATTGTCTACTTGTAAAATCTCACAAATCTGCACTACTAAATAGTGATCCCTAATCTAGATTTTATAGTGTCATTGTAATAACATGAAATCGTTCCACATGCTTCAGAGCCTCAACATAATATTAATGCTTCAGGCCAAATTTCTCGAAGATGATACACATGTATGGACTAGGCAGAGTAACAATTTCTTTTAAAGAGCGATTGAGAACCTATTGGTGCTTTTAAATTTTCATATTGGCAAGGTGTGTAGTAAAAGTTACAATTAGGCAATGCCCTTCTACGCAGATAAAGATCATTTTGTATTACTCATCCACATACATTACTATGGTGTTCTTAAATACCAATGTAGATTCACCGAGTCGCCGTCAATAATTAGCGGGGGGGGGGGGGGGGGGGGGGACAAGTCAAAAATAACAATGAATACCTGCTTTTCAGCAACTAGCATGACTTTGTCCCAAAATGCATCTGTTTATATTAATGCATCTGGTTAAATAAAATCTCAACCATATGAGACAACAAATTTAACTGAAGAAACCTTAAAGTGCACTAGATCAACAATGACTATTAAGGCAAACGAAACTCAGAACAGGTCCATGAACTACCTCAATACATAAGTACATTTCACTATGAATGATCTCAATGCATACCATGGCTGTCGGTATTCTTGGTCTCCATCCCGCCTTTATTCACTCTTTCCTGGTGATCAACTACTTGTATTAGAAGGCCAGAAACCTATAGATCAAACCTAACATAATAACGTCCTATAGACTGTGCGCATTTACCACAAATTCTCGCAACAATGTTTTTGATGTAATCAACTTTCTGGATGATCTTGATGAGGCCAAATTTCTCGATGATCTTGACGTAGAAAAATTCCTAGACGATTTTGATGCAGCCAATTTTTTAGATGATTTTGATGTCTCTAGACTCCTAGAAGACTTGGATGTGTCCAAATTTCTCGATGAATGTGGTGTCTCTAAATTTCTCGCGGATCTTGATGAATCCAAATTCCGCGATGACAGTGATGCTGATTGCATCATCTCAGTTTCATGCTGGG